AATAGACTTAAGAAAAATATGACATATATAAAAAATATCTATATATTGCATCTATCACATATATATAACTGAATATACATAATTGGATATATATTCTCTATATTCAATAATATATCAATAATATAAAATACTAAGAATAAAAATATAGTCCAGGCCTCGTATTTCATAATTTATCTCTGGATATTATTAAGTATATATGTTTAATATTTCTAGATAATAGGAAACACTATATATATATACTTAATATATATACTTTATATAGATATACTTTATATATTTTTATATATGTATTTATGTATATATAATTAAAATTAATTGAATATATATACATAATTGAATATATATTTTCTATATTCAATAATATTATCAATAATATAAAATTCTAAGAATACAAATACAATCCAGGCCTCATATCTCATAATTTATCTGTGGATATTATTAAGTATATTATATATTATAATAATATTATAATATTGTTATACATAATATATATGTTGAATATTTCTAGGTAATAGGATATATATGTATATATATTTATATGCTATATATATACTTTTTATATATATATATATACTTAGTATATCTATACTTTATATATATATACACTTTATATATATACTTTATAAATGTATTTTATGTATATATGTATAAGATTCAATATATGTATTCATTGCATACATTGAATAAAATCTAGAGAGAATTGACAGATTCAAGGCCTGGAGAATTCAGATAATAATATATAGATTTATATATAAAAGAATCTGCATTTATTATTCTATAGAATAATAATCCAGGCCTCATATCTCATAATTTATCTCTGGATATTATTAAGTATATATGTTAAACATTTCTATAATATATATTTATATTTATATAATAGGATATATATATGTGTACATATTATATTTATGTGTATATACACTATATATATACATAACATATATACTTTATATATGTATATACTTTATATATATATAAAGTATATATATACACACATAATATATATAAAGTATATACATATATTTATATGTGTATATGTATATACATATATATATAAAGTTATACATATATTTTATGTATATATATAATATTCAATATATTTATTCATTGCATACATTGAATAAAATCTAGAGAGAATTGACAGATTCAAGGCCTGGAGAATACAGATAATAATATATAGATTTATATATAAAACAATCTCCATTTATTATTCTATAGAATAATAATCCAGGCCTCATATCTCATAATTTATCTCTGGATATTATTAAGTATATATGTTAAACATTTCTATAATATATATTTATATTTATATAATAGGATATATATATGTGTACATATTATATTTATGTGTATATACACTATATATATACACAACATATATACTTTATATATGTATACACTTTATATATATATAAAGTATATATATACACACATAATATATATAAAGTATATACATATATTTATATGTGTATATGTATATACATATATATATAAAGTTATACATATATTTTATGTATATATATAAGATTCAATATATTTATTCATTGCATACATTGAATAAAATCTAGAGAGAATTGACAGATTCAAGGCCTGGAGAATACAGATAATAATATATAGATTTATATATAAAACAATCTCCATTTATTATTCTATGGAATACACAGATCTTGTATTTCAATGCGTGGACTTGGGGTATATATTCAATATATTCAATGATTTATGTGTCTATATGGGGAGAGATGTGTGTTTATATCTCTGTGTGTGATCCAGAGATAATTACATATGGAATTAGGAGATTTTCCGGAGCCTCCTGGAAGGGACTGATGTCGTTCAGGATCCTGAAATCCATCGGCACTGGAGACCCTGTGGATGGGCAGGGACACCTCCCACTATCCCAGGTTGCTCCTCAAAGGGCTGGAAAACCTTCACCTAAACTGAGGGGGAACATTCCATGGAATCCTGGAATGGTTTGGGTTGGAAGGGACCTCCAAGATCATCCAGCTCCAACCTCCTGACATGGGCAGGGACATCTCCCACTCTCCCAGGTTGCTCCAACATGGCCTGGAACACTTCCAGGGATGGGGAAGCCACGGCTTCTCTGGGAATTCCATCCCAGCCCCTCACCACCCTCACAGGGAAGAATTCCTTCCCAATATCCCATCTATCCCTTCCCTCTGGCAGTGGGAAGCCATTCCCTGTGTCCTGTCCCTCCATCCCTTGTCCCCAGTCCCTCTCCAGCTCTCCTGGAGCCCCTTCAGGCTCTGGAAGGTGCTCCAAGGTCTCCCTGGATCCTTCCCTTCCCCAGGCTGGACATTCCCAGCTCTCCCAGCCTGGCTCCAGAGGTTTTCCAGCCCTTGGAGCAGCTCCGTGGCCTCCTCTGGACTCGCTCCAGCAGCTCCATGTCCCTCCTGTGCTGAGGATCCCAGAGCTGGAGGCAGAACTCCAGATGGGATCTCTGCTCTGGAGAGCAGAGCAGGGGGGAGAATCCCCTCCCTCTCCCTGCTGGCCCTTGGATGTTTGATATCATTTGATATCATTTTTTTGCCCACATTTGGTCACTGATAAAGCCACGAGACCTTTTGCCAGGTCCTGCATCCATCCTTGGCTTTTCCAAGGTTTTCCATGAGGTTCTGGATGATCCAAGGGTGACTCAAGTGTCCCTTGTGCCACCGACACCTTCACCCAACGCTGGATGAAACCTTGGCTTTTCCAAGGTTTTCCATGAAGTTCTGGGTGGTCCAAGGGTGACTCAAGTGTCTCTTGTGCCACTGACACCTTCACCCAATGATTTGTGGATTCTCAGGACTTGCTGCTCCTCTCTGGAGCTATTCCATGAGGAGCAAACCCTGGGAAAACTGGAAAGCAAGGGCAGCCTCTCCTTTATCCAATCCCCTTCCCGCAAAAAACCCGGCAGCGCTTCCCCGGTGGAACAACAACCATTGGGAATGAACAGGCTGTCAGGGTGAGCCTTAGGAATTGTAACCATTCCTAATTTTCCAGCTCTCCTTTCCTCGGGAGCACGTGTTCCTTGACAGGAGATGCTCTCCAGGGAAATGCTCTCCAGTGCCCTGCCAGCCCTTGGATATTTGATATCATTTGATATCATTTTTATTGCCCACATTTGGTCACTGATACAGCCATGAGACCGTTTGCCAGGTCCTGTATCCAACGCTGGATGAAACCTTGGCTTTTCCAAGGTTTTCCATGAAATGCGTGGTCCAAGGGTGACCCAAGTGTCCCTTGTGCCACCAACACCTTCACCCAATGCTGGATGAAACCTTGGCTTTTCCAAGGTTTTCCATGAAGTTCTGGGTGGTCCAAGGGTGACTGAAGTGTCTCTTGTGCCACCGACACCTTCACCCAATGATTTGTGGATTCCCAGGACTTGATGCTCCTCTCTGGAGCTATTCCATGAGGCGCAAAACCCGGGAAAACTGGAAAGCAAGGGCAGCCTCTCCTTTATCCAATCCCCTTCCCGCAAAAAACCCGGCAGCGCTTCCCCGGTGAAACAACAACCTTCGGGAACGAACGGGCTGTCAGGGTGAGCCTTAGGAATCGCAACCATTCCTAATTTTCCAGCTCTCCTTTCCCCGGGAGCAGGCGTTGGTTTCAAGGAGACGCTCTCCGGGGTTTGCATCCCGCTGCCAGGATGGGGGTTGGATCTTAATTTACGGATCTTCTCCGGCTAATGCGCGGTTTTATGGACGTTCCGCTAATAGCATTACGGGCATAGTTTGGGCTTAATGCGAAATTAGAGCTCCAATTTGCATAAACAAATTACTGTTTGGATTAGCACTAAATGAGGAAGGCGGCTGATGTCGAAGGAGATTGGATTCGGCTCTGTTTGGATAACGGGGGGATGGAGGGAAAAGCCGGGAAGGCTCCGGGGTGGGGCGGGCGGTGCAGGAGGTGTCGGGTCGTGGGCGGGGTGGGTTTTTGGGTGGTAAAGGGACAAATTGTCTGTCTGGGATCTTAAGCAAGACAGGGGATGTTCAGGTGGGACATGAGGAGGAATTTCTTCCTGGAAAGGGTTGTTAAATGTTAGAATGGGCTGCCCAGGGCGGTGGTGGAATCACCCTCCCTGGAGGTGTCCAAGGAAGGACCGGACGTGGCACTCGGTGCTCTGGGCTGGGGGACAACGTGGGGATGGGGCACAGGTTGGACTCGATGATCTCAGAGGTCTTTTCCATGATGATTCCATGGTATTTATCCCTAAGGTGCCACTTCAGAGCTTATTGGTCCTTCAGGATAACGTTATGGGATTATTTTGGGCTCCTTTATGTCCTGGATTATGGCTCCTGATCCATCATTGTCTCACTGCCTCGTTACGGGATTTGTGGATGTAGGGAAAGGTGGGAAGGTGGGAACAGGTTCTCAACGCCACCCACTGAACCCCACTTGTGTCCCAGCATCTCCTCCAGGTGTAGATGGAGATGGCAATGGTCTTGTGTGACTTGTCCCATGCAGGGATCATAAGATCATGGAATGGTTTGGGTCAGAAGGAACCTTAAAGACCATCTCCTTCCAACCCCCTGCTGTGGGCAGGGATGTCACCCCCTAGACCAGGTGGCTCAAAGTCCCATCCAACCTGGCTTTGAGCACTTCCAGGGATATCAAAGCTTGTAGAGCTCCATAAAACTTGGTTAAGCTCGGGGAAGATCCCACATTGCTGATTCCATCATGGGATAAAATCCACATTTCCCTGGGGCTGGGGCTGCAAGCCAAGAGAGCGAAAAGTGGCAGAGTCCTTGAAGATTGTTTTTTTTGGTGTAAATCACTTGGAATCAGAGCTTTTCCTCCCTGGTTTTTCCATACATCCCTCCATTCTAATGGAAGGTGTCCCTGCCCTTGGCAGTGGGGTCGGAATGAGATGACCTGGAAGGTCCCTTCCAACCCAAACCATCCTGTGAGTGTCTGATCCAAGGGTTTGGTCACGGAGCAGCACTTTTTCAGGATATTCTCCATAATTTGGACTCCCCTTGACTTTCTTACTCTCCTGCAGGTCCCTGTTGTTGAACCAAACCCGACTGTCGCCCCAAGGTGCCAAATCCCAACCGGTGCCGCCGCGGTGGAGGAGTAAAGGCTTCCGCTGCATCGGTGGTGTCCTGTACCGAGTGTCGGCCAACAAACTCTCCAAAACCTCCAGCACCCCCGTCAGGAGCAGGGACCCGGGCACCAAAACCCCCAGCAGAGCAGGTGAGCAGCAGGATTTGTCCCACTTCTCATCCCAAATCCATGGAGTGAAGTTTTTGAGCCGTTTATTCCCAGCCCTTGGTGTTGCTGCTCATCCTCTGGCCTCGTAGGAGAGCGGATGCCAAGGGGACGGATGCCAAGGGATGACGGGCATCCCGTGGGTGCCAGGAGTTGTTCCTGCTTTGCAGGAGCACCAAAGGGGAAATAACGTTGAAGAAATGGGATGTTTAAGAAAATTGATGTTTTTCTTAAGCTGGGCTTAGTTCAGGCTCATCGAGCTGCACTGTTAAACTCGGTTCTTCTTATAAGTCTTGGGTGACTTCAGGTGGCATCACAAGGTTGGAGATGCTCATCAAACCCTGCTCAGTATTGACCAAAAAATTTGGGAGGATCGTTGTGCAGATAACCCTGAAACAGAATTCCAACACAGTTCCCAACTTTCTGTTGAGCTTCACTTAAATCCGTGTTTCAGCTCCTCCTGGATTTGAGGCCTCTTAGGGAAAAGCAGGTTTAAAGTCTTTTTTTTTGAGTTTCTGCTCGGTCTCAACTATTTTTGCTCCATCACTTGTTTACTGATGCTTTTTGGGGGGAAGGTTAAACTGGGAAAACCAAACTCATGGAATTATTTTTTGAAGGATATTTCTGATTTTGCTGCTTTTTTTGCTTATTCTCCTTCCCCTTCCACGTTGGGTTTGGAACCATAAAACCCGAGGAACCGTCGGGATTTCCGCGTCGTCTTCCGTCTCTCCCCATAATTCCTCCTCCTTCCCAAGGGGGAATTCCACAGGCACTGGCATCTCTTCCTTTGGGATAGCTGGGGCTGGTTTGTGTGTTCTCATCATCTACAAACCTTCCCACATTTACTCAAGATTTTCAACACTTGCCAAAGTTTCTTTAAAAGACGAGGAAAAAAATCAGCTTTTCCTTCCCTTCCGGTGCCAAACTCTGTGTGTTTGGAATAGTGGAGAGAAGGAAAACGCTCCCAACAGTTTAATAACTCAGAGTTTGCTTCCAGTGGCTTCTAATTTTTCCGTTTCCCTGGATTTTTTGGGGTGGTGTTTTCCCTCCAGAATAAAGGAATGTGATGCTGGTTGTCCCTGGCTGATCCATCCGCATTCCCTTTGAGGAATTTACTGATGGATGCTGGTGGCCAGTTAAAGTTTGGTCCTGGGGATGCACTTCCTGCACCCCTGGATGCAATCCTGGGATTCCCAGGAGCGATGGAGCATCTCCTTCATCTCCTGGAGCAATGGGAAGAGCGGGAGTTTGCCGTGGCTTTTCCATAACTTCCTTCGTCGGGGGTGGAGAGACATGGAAAACACTCAATTTAGGAACAAGGGAAGTGTCATTGTCATTCCAGGAATAATTTTGGGGGATGTTTTGGGTGTAAAAACCCTCCCCCTGGAGCAATTCGGGGCAGCTGCTGAGAACTGGGAACTGCGCCCTCGTCACACCTGTGGATCCGCTTCCAAAGGAATTCCCGCGACTTCCACAGAACTCCGCAAGCAAAACGCGGGAATAACACAAAACACCAGATTGGGAGCTTGGATTTGGCCTCATTTGTAGCTCCATCAAGGATGGAGAAGCCTCAAAACAGAGCTCCGACAGTCACTGCTCATCCCAGCGCAGGACAAAGATGCAGAATCCCACATGGAAAAGCCCTTTTCCTTCGGGATAACTGGCATTTCAGCAAGGATATATTGTTTTTCCCTTTGCAGAAGCGTTAGGAAATGGGCAGTGGGGTGGGGTGGAAGTTAATTAAACAGGCGGAATAATTGGGTTTTCCAGCTCCCGAGGAACCTTCCCTTCCTTCCTTCCCGCTAAAGAGTTACTCAGGCACTCGAGGAATTTCCATGAAATCCGGGAAGGAAGCAAAAGGTGCTGGGCAATGTAAGGTTTCACGAGGAAAAACAGAAGGGAAAAGACAAGATTGGAAGCAACAGAAACCAATTTAAGGTTCGACGTCATCCGGAAACGGGCCCTGACCCCAATCTCGGCGTGGCTCCGGAGGCAGGAATTGCACGCCGGCACCTGGGGCTCATTCCAAGGGGTTTTCCAAGCATCCAGGCTGCTTTTTTCCGTGGGCAAATCCTCCCCTGTGTGATTTTCCTTGCCCTCCAGGGAGGTTTTGAGCTCGTGGGAGGTGCTTGGTGGGGGAAAGGACAGTGGGTTTGGGGAGGTAAAGGCAGGAACCGGTCCCTGGAGCAGCAGGGTGTTGTTTATTGGGGTTTTCAGTTTTGATCCGTGACCGTTGGATCCAGAGCCTTGGATTGCTGAGCTCCCAAAGGTGGAGGTTGAAGCCCTCTGGAGCCAACCTGAGTCAATCCCTTGGCCCCTTTTGAGCTCAGTGCCTTGATTTTGGGATTCCTCAATCCCTTGACCCCTTTACAGTCAATCCCATGGGTTTGGGATTCCTCAATCTTTTTTGAGCTCAATTCCATGGCCCCTTCAATCTCCGTGCCTTGTCTTTGGGATTGTGGGATCCCTTGGCCCCTTCAATCTCAACCCCTTGTTTTTGGGATTCCTCAGTCCCTTGACTCCTTTGAGATCAATCTCTTGGTGCCTTTTGGGGTCAATCCCTCATTTTTCGGATTTCTCTATCCCTTGACTCCTTTGAGATCAATCCCTTGGCCCCTTTTGGGGTCAATCCCTTGTTTTTGGGATTGCTCAATCCCTCAACCCCTTTACAGTCAATCCCAAAAAGGATTCCTCAATCCTTTTTGAGCTCAATTCCATGGCCCCTTCAACCTCAGTGCCTTGTCTTTGGGATTGTGGGATCCCTTGGCCCTTTCAGTCTCAATCCTTTGATTTTGGGATTGCTCAATCCCTTGTCCCCTTTGAGCTCAATTCCTTAATCCCTTCGGAGTAAATCCCATGGGTTTGGGATTGCTCTGCCTTACCCCTCTTGAGCTCAATCTTTTGGCCTTCCAATCTCAGTCCCTTGGTTTTGGGATTGCTCTATCCCTTGACTCCTTTGAGATCGATCCCTTGGCCTCTTTTGGGGTCAATCCCTTGTTTTGGGATTTCTCTATCCCTGGACTCCTTTATAGTCAATCCTATGGTTTTGGGATTCCTCAATCTTTTACCCCCTTTGAGCTCAATTCCATGGCCCCTCAATCTCAGTGCCTTGTCTTTGGGATTGTGGGATCCCTTGGCC